AATTTTTTTTGACAGAGTCTTATTATGTGGCCCTGGCTAGCCTGTAACTCACTATGTAGACCAGGCTGGCCTCAAACTCACAAAGATCCACCTACCTCTCCCTCCCGGGTCCTGGGATTAAAGGCGTGCACCACTACGCCCAGCCTAAGCATATACTTTATCATTAAGTCTTTACATTAATCCCAGCAGATAGGTTCTGTTTTTAACACTCATTCCTCTACTTTATAGGTGACAAAACGGAGGCACAGAGAAATTTCTTGCCAAAAGATATGCAGTAAATAAGAAATGGGGGCCAGGTGCTATGTCAAGCATTGGGGTTTCAAAGCCCTTTCCCCTAAACTGCAACTACCACTGTCCCAAGAGGGATGGGAAGAACATCAGGGGTCCACTCATCCAGAAACAGTTCTATGGAATGTGAACTTGAACCTCAACAGAGAGAATGTGGTGCCTCCTCCAGGATAAACCTATGTGTAGAGGGTATGGAATAGTCCAATGTTGTCAACAGCCATGCCAGGGATTCTAGATGGAAGCTCACCCACAAGCAAAGACTTTTTTGTGATATAGACTATCATTATATAGAGTTAAGGGAAGTCAAGACAAGTTCTCCAGTTACATTGTTTTGTGTGGGGAAAGCCCGACATGGCATGACACGGTGTAGTGGGAAGGCTAGCCTGATAGGCAGATGTCACAAAGGGATTGTACTGTGTCCCATGTTTCCATTCTGCTTAGGTCTGACATGGAAAGAAGTTTTGTTGACACACTGCCAACTTTGGGTCACCCCTAAATACTTTAGGAAAATATTTCTCTACAGAAATGAAAAGCAGGAAACTGGATTCAGCTAGTGAATTAGATCAGTGTTCAGATAGTCCAGGAACCAAATCCGCTTTTCTTTCATAGCAGGGTATTTATCTGAATTGAATTGTGTGCTTTGTCACCAATCCCCAGCTTGATTTTTCCTGAGCAGACACAGCTTACATTTTTGTCATGTCTTTAGACTCTCATTTTGCTATACTAATTATGAATTAAGAGAATCAATACTCCTAAAACCAATGGCTTGCATCCCACCAGTGATTTGATTTTAGCTAGCTGCCTCCTCTTCCTCCTCATCTTCCTTCCTCTCTTTTTCTTTTTGAGACAGGGTCTCATTATGTAGCCCAGGCTGGCCTTGAATTTGTGATACTCCTGATTCAGCCTTCTGAATTCTGGGATTCCAGATGTGCACACTGCACCTAGCCTTAGCCGCCATTTTTCTTCTCCTTCTTCTCTTGGTCTACCTCCTCCTCCTCGTGCCCCTTTTCCTCCTGTCCCTCCACTCCCTCCTCTCCAATTCCTTCCTCCTCCTCCTGTGGTGCTTGGTGATTGAATCTAGAGATGAGTGCAGGGTGGGCTAGCACTTTACTACTGAGCTACATCCCAGTTTGCTGTACCCCCCCACCCCCAACTTCTACAGCACTGACATCAACCTCACACAGATGTGACAGATGTGTTCACAGCTGTATTGGTCTTGGACACCAGTTAGGGCATAAGATGATGATAAAGATGGTTTACTACAAGGTACATCTCCCATTTGATGAAAAAGATATCCTTTTTGCCAACTTGGATCTCTTTTCTAAACCTTGGTGTTTTTCAGCCTGGTAATTCTTCAAATTTGATGTTTTATAGAATGGAAAGTGAATTAATTCCCTGTTTGTCAGTGTTGTAAGTTCCATATGGAGTTTGCTCAGTTTGAAAAGCATCTGTATTAATCAGACAAACCAAATCATTGAGTGGGCCTCAATGGTCTATTTTAATGACTTTTCTCCACAGATGACAAAGCAAACAGCTACCAGGTTTCAGCAAGAAGGCTAATATTGTACTGAATGAATGGAGCTGCACGATTTAAACTTACTCCCCAAATTTTGCAATTAAATCATTCTCGTTTCAATACATCCCAACTTCTACTTTGAAATATTTGCAGAATGACTTCATCTGCTCTACTTCAGCCTTAAGATAGTTGAATTAAAAGTCTAATTCCTAAAAGTCTTTCAAACGAGAAATTAATTCTCATCCTTCCCCGCCCTCAACCCCCTTGCCCCGATTAAACAAGGAACAGGAGTTGGAGCTTTGCCTGAGAGGCCATTGCTTTAGAAGTCACTTTGGTTTTGACTTCATCAAAGCAAGAAAATGTGGGTGGTTAATCTGAGTGAAAGCTGCCATTTTCTACAAATGCATTGTGTCTTAACCAGTCCAGTGGTTGCATGACAGCAGCTATTTAGGATTAGGAAGAAGCTGTGATTGGGATTTTAATGAATTGCACGCGATTTGCTATTTACGAATTCTTGGGGAGTTAGTTTGGATCTGCTCCCAGGAGGCAGACCTTTCTGCCTAGTTACCCCAATTTATGTACAGTTCTCAGAGTACCCGAGTTTGTCCTACAGATGTTGGCTTTGATGTGATGAGCCTGAGGGATTCTAAATTTTCCCATTGATTTTTGCTCCTTGCTAGATACTATGATGTCACTCCTGCCCCGAGCAGAAGACTGGCCTTGGCTTCAAAGGCAGCTAAAGAGTGAATTATTTACCAAATTGCACAAAAGGGAGGATTTATCAAGTTCCCTTTCTTCCCAGAGAGGACAACCCCAGGACTGGAGGACTTTATGACTCTTACTCCTGGTTGTAAATTATATCATTCACATGCTTTTGAAAGCTCCTCTTGCCTTAGTCATAAAACTTGATACCTGGGGCCAGACGCCTTTATCCTGAAGTGTGAGGAAGATGAAAAGGCCACACTTGCAAGGAGTGGTCCGGGAAGTGGAGAGTTAAGAACGTGGGTAGTGGGAGAATGTTTTACTATGAAATTAATTTTATTTATACAGGCTAATTGGCCTTCCAAGACCTGAATTAGCCACTCGGAAAGCCCTAGGCTTAGGCAATCCCATCTTTTGCTGTGATCTTTAAGACAGGGATGTTAGAGGTGAATTTCAATCAAGCAGTCACTCACCTGGAGTGCTGGGTTTGCTGGGGCTCACTTTGTTGGGCTTTTTTGGAGTCATGGTACTTTTGTGTTTCTGCTTGACAGCTGTTTGGTCAATGGCTGGGAGTCTGGGCTCATACTTAGCTGTAGGTACCTTGGTAGATGATCTTGGTTCACTTAGAGAATCTTCCTCGCCAGAACTCTGTCAAAAATGAGAGCTTTGTGATTAGTGGCCCAGTGGGCACCTCTGCTAGGCAGAAACACAGGACAAGCCCCTCCAGCAACAGCGTTAAAGCTTCCTGCTGGTTTTGGCACTTTGCTCGCCCTTCTATCAGGGAGAGTTTGAGAGTACCAGTTTAGACATAACAGTGAAGTTAATGACTCTATTTTGTAGAACATTATGAAAAGAACGCATTTCTGTCTGTTTTGGGAGCATATTAAGAAAAGAATATGTTTCTGATCCTTAAGTAATTTGATGACCAAGGAGTAGCACGTTCTTAAAGCCGCTTAGGAAGGGTGTGTGTGTGGGGGGCGAAATCAGTGCTTTAAAATTTTTTGATGTTTGGTATTTGAACTACTTTGGGGACGGGTGAAGGAAAATGGACCTCATGCTAATCATGTACTTGAAAATGAAAAGGAAATTTAGATCATATAGTGGAGACTGATTAACTCAGACTTCAGTTTCAATATTTCAAATTATTGCACAAGACAGAAGACTCTCTTAAGAAGGGCCCATCCTTGTCCGTCTTCTTTAAAGAAGTCGGTATAAATCTACACATGGACAAATCTTGATTCCTGCAATGTCAGACTATCTCAACCCAGGCTTACTGATGCAATAAAAATTATCTAGGCATTCAACAGTTTTACAGTTTTCCACACTTATCCACCCCCCCCCAAAGAAATGATGAAATCAATATAAATGACTGTCAGGATCCTGCCCTCAAAAGGTGATTTAAGCATAGCCTGTGGCTTTGGGTCCTAGTGCTGGGACACTTTGCAAGGTCATCCATTCTTGCAACAAGCAAAGTCCTACAGGTTTCTCTCACCTTCAGCATTAGGAAAGTTCCTCCTACATGGCACATTAGTCCAGCACTAGAAAATTCTCTGAAAATGTGGTCCTTTGCAGGCAGGCAATGCTAAATCAAAGTCTCCAGCACCGCCCCAACTGTTGCCATCTGTGTTGATCTTGCCCATCGTTCTTGATGACAGTTGTGGTATTTTCATTTCACAGGCTCCTGACTCAGGAAAATACGCTGAATAGCTTTGAATTATTGGGTGCAACGTAAGACAAACAGAACTAAAAAAAAAAAAAAAACCCAAACCCCCCCCTTTTACATCACTTAACAAAAATCAGGGCAGAAATCAATGAAAGTGAAACAAAGAAAACAATACAAAGAATCAACAATTCGAAGAGCTGGTTCTTTGAAAAGATAAACAAGATTGACAGACGTCTAGCCCAAGTA